CCATCTGAAGCAAAGAGCATACTTCCTGCGGACACTTTTTTGGCTGAGTGAACCATCTTGTTATGTACTATCATTGTCCGCACCTAGCAATTATTTCCGTCGAGTCCCGATACCTATGACTACTTCCGGCGAGTAGCAATTACTCCGAACCCAGCAATTACATCCGGCGAGTAACGGTTAGTCCGATCCCTTTGATTACTTGGGGTGGGAGGGCGCTACCCCAGGCACTACCCCACCCAGTCTCTACAGTATGAAGTCAGAGACCAACACTGACCTACACCGACAAATGAGAGTCTATAATATGGGGCCTCGTGGGCAGACGTCACAGTTTTAGATTTTGAATTGAAAGAAAAGGGAATATTATTATAATTTAAAAACAACAACAGATGAATGAGAAAAAGGCGAAAGCAACGAATAAGTTTTGACACTGTATACTAGTTCGATATTATAATCGTTGGCAATGACTTTGCATCCCGACTACTCTTTCTTAAGTCTTCAAGATTCAGGATAACCTCGATTTCAGAAAATAGCAAAGCACCAACATAAAAAATAACATTCTTAGAAAAAAAAATAAGATAAAAATATAGTAAATGAGAATCGTTAGTTTACGAAAAAGGGATCGATTCTTTTTCTCAGAAGTAGTAATCGCAGGAATCGGTTCTCGAATCGATTCTTGGCCCACCACTAGTGTCCACTGCCCGTCCGGCGTCCACCCATTGTGTTTATCTGGTAAGCTGCTACAATGTCTGAGAGCAAAAAGAAATTCCCAAACGTCAGTTGTACTAGATCTAGATCTAATTGGTTTGAAAGAGGGCAGTTTAGCTGCACCTGACAAGTCGCATTATTATGATGACCCATTAGAACAAATGGGTTTTTTATTCGAGAAATGAACTAAACGTAACAGCACCATACTCTGGCGTAGATCTAGATCTAATCTAGATTCTAGGTTCCCATCATTTGACTCTATTTGAAACAAAATTAAGGGCACCGTAGATCTAGAAAGATTTGAACCTATACTCGACTATAAGAGACTGGGAGACTAGATCTAGATCTAGATATAGATCTAGTGTTGGTTGCTCATGGTGAGCGCGCTTTGCAGCGAAGTTTTTAAGTTTTTACTAGATCTAGATCTAAATCTAGATTTAGATCTACAATCTAGATCTAGATCTAGCTAATCTAGATCTAGGCTACTTTGCTTAGCCTGTAGCCTACACAGAGTACAGAGGGATAGAAGTAGAAGGCGAATATAGATCTAGATCTAGTGCGCGGAGTAATTTATGCAAATTTTTATATTTCACGTGTGAGATATCAGCCTATATTTCACGTGTGAAATATAAGGATATATTTTACCGGAAGTGCAATGCTATAACAGCTCCAAGTATGGTATAAAATAGATTATCACATCTTTTGTCAACAAATTGTTACTTTCAGTTCGACCCTTCGGTCCGATGTACTGTCATTTGGAGATACACTTTGCGCGAAATTCACATTTGGCTCTGTCCTTTCGGAGATGGATGTTAAACTCGGAGGTCCCGCCTCTTGAATAATCTAATAGTGCTGATAGGGGTGTTAAACCTACACCAGGCGGTTTTCGTGGCCTACAGGTTAAGGTGTTCGCTTCTCATTCTAGGGACCCCGGGTAGAATCCCGGTAGCGACAGAAAAATTTTGCTCTCTAAAATTTTCTCCTGTCCCCTTCTTTCCTGCTCTCTGGCAATATTCTGATGTCTGCTTTCGTCTCCACTTTCTGCCCCACCCATTCACCTCCTTTGTCCCCTCCTCTGGGTTCTTGACTCTTTCTGCAGCCTTTTTACTGCTACTCCTATTCTCTTTCTTACTGTCTTTCAGCCACATTCCTGATCATATGGTAGACAAGATCTACACCTTGCCTTCTCGGACAAAGGCGAATAATCTCGGAGGTCCCGTGTGTAATTTGCGCACGTTAAAGATTCTTTGTTTTTCTAAAATCGATAAGAGTAGGCTTCTGCCGCCATCCGGGCAAAATTCAAAATTTCCTACCAACTGAAAATGTTAGAGGTGTCCCGTGCGCTCATATGACCTTATGCAGTTGCGAGCGCCGTAAAACACTTACAAAAAAAACCTTTAAAAAACTGAACATAATGCCCACTTTTGGTGTAGGTCAAGATTTCTGGAATCCCCCAAAATCTGGGTTAGCCTGCTTGTCCTTAAAAGCGACCAGTTCTCTGTTGACATCCATCCCTTGGCACTCATATGACCTCATAATAATATTAATAAATAGCATTTGTATAGCGCATATCCCCACTCGAAAACAAGCTCTATGCGCTTTACACTATATTATTATTACCCAAGCAGACCATAGAACACTCAGAAACATTCTCAGCTTCCCTGGAAACATACGCAGCTGGTTAAGCGTTTCAAACACTAACAAACCGACAAGATCTTTCACTGTCTATAGCTGAGTACCCATTTTCAGCTGGGTGAAGTGAGGAACTTTTGTGTAAAGTATAATTCCCAAGAACACAACGACAGGCCCGCGGCTCGAACCCCTGAACCCGCAACCTCACGATTACGAGTCCGGTAGCGTAACCTCATGCAGTTGCAAGCGCCGTAAAACCTCTACTAAAACAAACCAACTTCTACCATTTCCCCATTTCCCAGTTCCGCCCCAGGTGACCAAGACAGGAGGTGACCGCGTCATGTCCACTGAGGGGACCAGGCAGGAAATCTCTTGTCAGATCCAGTCTAGCAGTCCAGCAGGTTTGTCTATTAGTTATAGCGTGTGTGTTCGTGTGTTTGTGCGTGTGTGTGTGTGTG